GTTGTAATGACACCTTACCGAAATCTTCACAATTAATATTTGTCTGTGATGACGAATATAAACAATAGTGGTTTACTTAATAAAATTTTATTTATTCTTTCTTGTCTTTGGAAATTATCCAAGTAAATATTTGGTTTGATGACAAATATCTTCAACAATATAGTTGTTAATACCGTCTGGAAAAATTATGCAGAAGAAATATTTGTTTGTGATGACAAGTCAGTACACCAATCACTGAATCGCCTTTTGGTAATGATCTTGACAAAAGAGTTGGAGAAATCAGGGCAACAAACACGTATTAACATACATAAGAGGTATGGTTATCCCACTTGTAAAGAAACCAAAACAAACAATTGTAGCTTCTGAAAATAAACGGTCTAATAATATAATATCTATTGTCGATCATAGTGATGAACATATTTCCAAGGTTTTTGCAATTCCAATATCAGATGGATCATACTGTCTTATTTTAAACCTTGAAAATTTTAGTAAAATTATTGGAAGTGTATATTTTAAGATAGAGATAATAAAGTGGTCAGACTTATATCTCAAGGTGGTTCATATCAAAATTGATTTCAAAGATGCTTACCATTTAATACCAATACAAACATATCGTAAATATTTAAGATTTCATGTAATGGCACTTTATACGAATACAACTGTTTTGCCTTTTGGTTTAAGTTGTGCATCTAGAAAGAGATTGAAACCTATTGTAGGAATTCTAAGAGAAAAGGGGGATTCTTTAACAATATATTTGGATGATTTTCTGATTCTAGGAAATTCATATAAAGAGTGTGAACATAATGTAAAATTAACTGTAGAAATACTAACAAATTTAGGTTTCTAATCAATCATACTAAAAGCAAAATTACTCCTACAAATGTGTGCACATATTTGGGGTTTACTTTTGACTCAAATAATTTGACAGTAACATTATCTAACAGCAAAAAATTGAAGATTTTAAAACGCTTAATAATTTTTGCAACTACCGAAGTGTAAAACTAGAAAATTTAAATTTTTATATATCAGTATATATATATATGTGTATATATGTATATATGTGTATGTATGTGTATATATGTATATATGTGTGTATGTGTATATGTGTGTATATATGTGTGTATATGTGTATAAACTTGACGGCTATAAAATTTGTTTTTTTACACGTAAAAATTATTTTTAACATTGAAACAATCATTTGGTACTCCATGCCACTCCAGACACCATTGGTAGATGGATTAAATTTACTCTACAACAGAGTGGCCTGGTATAAGTCAGTTTAAAGCATATAGCATACGCCACGCCGCAACATCTGCGACAGCTTGGAAAAGGGTCAGTTTTGACACTATAAGTTGGCGGCAAGGGGACGAAAAATTCTAAGAAACTTGCGAAATTTTACAATAGAAATTGCAATACAATTCTAAATAGGTAAAAAGAACCTGATTTATGTTAAGTACTATAATATTTGTAAGAATATACATTTAGTTTAAGGTTGGATTATGTTATGTAATGTGTTAACTAATTGCCTCAGGGCATTTTTAGATACGAACTTTACATTTTAGGAACATATAATATGTTAGGCGTTATGATAATAAAGTTGTTGCAACGACTTTAAACATCTACAAGTTATTTATTTATGAGATGAGGCCGAATATAATCTTAAGATCAAACGAACTTACCTGAAGTGATGTTCGATCTTGATTATATGAGGCCTCATCGAAATAAATAAGTCCCAACCCACCCTAACAATTTGGAAAAATACCCATAATATGTTGCAACAACAACTTTCAAATAGACTGATACATTAGGGATCGAGACGATGGTAACAGGGCTCAAGTGGTTTATTCCTTCTTTAAAATGTGAGTAATTAGCCAGAGGCGGAGGTACTACAAGTTATTTATTTATTTCGATGAGGCCTCATATAATCAAGATCGAACATCACTTCAGGTAAGTTCGTTTGATCTTAAGATTTTCTCACATTGAGAGTTTTTATGATTTCGTAATGTTTTTGTTATTGTGTCAGCACTAACCGTCACCTCTGTTAACCGTCAGGGTCCATACATGAGTTATATTGACAACATAAGTAAAAAATTATTCATCACTTCATTTTGTTTGAGCATTGCGATAAGCCAAACGAAATTCGTTGAAATGTACACGTGAAGTTATGCCACCAATGCATTTTTTATGTAAATGATTATTGTTCTTATTCAGGGCTCTGGATTAAATTTTAATTTAAATAGGTAATGATAAATGACACCGTGCTTTCAGAGTTTCATTTTTAGAATCGCAAACCGAAAATAAAAACGCAGAGCACAATAATTATTACAGTCAATATCTGTGTATCAACATAATTCAGTTTGATTCAAATTCGAACACTGATTGTGTCACTTAGTCGCATTGAGCAAAAAGTATGATGTTCCGAGAATAACAATCAATGATTTAAAGAAAAATGCTGAATGAATTGAAAAGTATGCTTCGCAAATGGAATCGTTGGATGGCCGAATGAAACATAGTGAGACAATGAAAAAAGCCACAAATGAATTACTCGACACGGCACGACACTCTGTATTTGTGGTTCGCTCAAAAAGAAGCGAGGGCGTTCCTTTGTCCGGACCAATTTTTGCCGAAAAAGCGTTGTTTTTCAACATGAAATTGAATGGCAATCCTTCATTCAAAGGAAGCAGCGGTTGGTTGAAAAAGTTCAAAAGTCGCCACGGTCTTCGAGAACTGAACATCGAAGGTGAAAAATTGTGCGCTGCAAGTGTTGAAGTCGTTGAAGAATATAAAAAAAAGTTTCAAGATATGATCGATGAATATGGTTTGACACGAGATCAAGTGTTTAATGCGGATGATACTGGTTTAAACTACAAAGCATTGCCAACGAAAACACGCGCTGCACTGTCTGAAAAATATAAACCAGGATTTAAAACGCAAAAGCAACGAATCACAGCAATGTTATGTTCAAATGCAAGTGGTGACCATCGCCAACATAATGCATGGATGTCCCAGGAAATATTCGCTGACTGGTTCAAAAAGGTATGTACTGCGGACCAAAATTTGTTTATCTATTTTCCATAATCAATGCACCTGCATTGAAGCCGGTATGCTCCGAAGTGACGATGAAAATATCACGTGCTCTTTTCTGTCTGCGAATACAACATCGTCCGATAGAGCCAATGGATCAATCGTCATTAAAACATTCAAAAGAAGATACAGAAAAAAAATTATTTAAAACCTCTTACGAAAGAGGAATTTTCTTTGCCAGAATACTGGAAAGCATACTATTTAAAACACGCAGTCGACAATGCTGTGGGTGCTTGGGCTGATGTTTCGGAAGTAAAAGGGCGTGAAATAAATTATGGGAAGTTATGGCTTAATCAACTGTTTTGTTTTCGTTACCTAAAGATGACATAAACGAATGGGTAATTTGTGATGAGGACGCAAACAGCTATCGATTGCTGACAGATGATGAAATCGTTGAAATGGCAACAGAGGCGGACGAAACTGATTCAGAAGCTGACAGAGACTTTGATGGTGGTGATGTTGATGATGTTATTGCAACTCACAAAGATTTGCGTAAAGAAGCTAGAGAAGCTGCATCGCACATACAAGTATTATTCTCGGCAAGAAGAAGCAAATCAGGTAGATTTGATGATTTTACGTCGATTAAGAAATTCAGCCGTTGCAAAATGTGAAGTAACAACAAAACAAACAAAGATTTCGGAATATTTTAAATCAAATTGATTCGACTGTACTAACATAAATCCCTCTTATATTGTCAAATAAAACATACAATAAAATTTGAGAGTTATACAATGAATTTTTCTTAATGTTCTGTTAACCGTCTTTTCGATTATCCGTCATACCATTGGTCCGGTGCCCTGACGGATAATCGAGGTTCCACTGTAGTCGAATTCACAGTATTTTCAGCCTGTAGCACCACATTTGAAAAGCTTTTCAAATGTGTAAAATTTTCAATTTCAATCATTTATTACTATACTATATTCCTCTGATAATGCTTCTGTTAGGATAGCTTCGCTATAAAATGAAATAATAATGGTGGCAATACGCGTCTGTCTAAATACTCCTTTAATCTTTATATTTTCTGTTTAGACGTTTACAATCCTAACAGTTGCTCTCTGATTCCAGTACGGATTAATTAAAATACGTATATCTTGACTATCCACATTCATTTCTCTTAGTAGTTCTACAAGTTTCTGATGTGGAACTCCATCGAATTCATATCTAGACATCTTTGTGTAAGCACATTACTAAAAAAAAGTACTTCTCCCATGTATGTACAATGTACATACACTTTCAACAATGGTTTTTTGCGTAGACTTTTTTGTTTTATTTGTTACTTTATGGCTACAGTATTGTCTATTATAAATATGGAACAATTCAATGCAAAGATTTGTCGTCTTTTACTAAAATCTTCATACTGTAATTGCTTTTGATTCCCTTTCTTTTTCTCTTACTAAAGATATCAGAAAGACTATATCTTTTAGCAGTTTATACTTCCTTAGTTTATTGTACTTACTATAAAATATTTACTTTGCTCTATAGCCGTTAATAGTTAAGTTCCTATTGGTTATCACAAATATTGTGTAATTTGTTATAAAATTAAGCAGAGCATGATGGCATTCAAATAAATCGTAAATTCTAGTGAAAAAGTAAAAAGTATTTCTCTATATATTTTTCACAACATTTTATGTTGTTTTTTGTTATTTTTTGATATTCTCAGAAATGGTATTAAAATTTGAAACATTATTAAAATAACTTCAACTTACAGCAGGCATAAAAACAACTAGAATAGAGACAACTCTCATAATATGGACACATTCATTTTTAAGACAGGTGAAATATATTCGAAAGAAATTCAACCTCTTAATACATCTATTTTTAATTGTTTATTTTTGGCACCACTTGCTCGTATTACAATTACTCAAAGCATTCCAATTATAAAATTGAAGTACTTAAACCATTTAAAATGTCACTAGAGAAGGAATTGGACAGTGTCGAATCAATTTTACACAAATTACCTGAAAAAGAACTCAGACAAGTATGGAGAATACTCTATGGAGACGGAGTAAAGTGAGTATATATATTTTTCTGTTTAATGTAAGAGATTTTGATTTTCGTATTGTCTTATTTCTGTAACATGTTTTTTTCTTAATTATTTAAATTTTTAGTTAGACAGTTTAGCTCTTTTATATCTAGCTTAAAACTTATACTTACTAAAATAAGTAGGTACGTAATACCTATAGAGTTTTGTTCTGTATTTGTTACAGTTTATTAAAATGAGTTTTAAATTATTTGCTTTTAAAGTATGAATATTATTTCCTTATATTTTGTTTGCACATTTATCCAATTTTTCGGTTTATATTAATTCTTTTAGTTTCTTATTTTTTCTCCTCGTCTTTACTACATAAATTTTTTATAAAATTCTCTCTTCTTTAATACTGATTATGGCGCCAATACATTTGACCAATTCTTCCATTACGAATATATCACACTTCTTCTTCTTATCTAACACCTTTTTCCAAAGTAATGATTACATACTAATCAACAACAGAAGAGAATCAGAAGTGGTGGGGAATATTAGAGAAAACATATAAATTAAAAAGAAAATTCAAATTAAAAATTAAATTAAACGGAATGTGGCTAAATTTAATAATGATAATGTAAAGAAATAAAGAAAACCTGTAATAAAATAAAGACAGTACAGATTAGAACAAAGTGAAAGATTCGAAGAAATACGAACAATTCAGAAAACAAAGTCAACAAATAATAATAGAATAAGAGAAGAGGGTATGATAGGGAGAGGAAGGTAAGGGGAACTGGATTAGAGAAAGAGTAATTAAAACCGAACAGGAAAGTAAACACAACAACTCGAGAAGGTTCTATAAAAAAATCAAAGAAAAAACCATCAGCTATAAACCAGAGACAAGTGGCATTAAAAATCAAGAAGGAAAAAGTTACTGAAGATGAAGAACAATACAAATCAGTATGGTAGGAATAATTTCAAAACTATTAAATGAAGAGCCGAAAAAAATCTGCCTTGAAGGTAGAAGACACATATGATATCGAAATAGACGATCTGACCATATACGAAGTAATTGAAATAGCGAAGAATAGTCCCAGAAACAGAGTACCTGGGTAAAAATGAAATAAACCCAAAATTATTCAGAAGTAGAGCGCAACGACCCATTAAAAAAATGGATAGAAGTAAAAGTTCACAGAGAATGAGAGAATAGAAAAATAGTAGTGAGATATAAGAAAAAATATCGTAAATGTTAAAAAAAAACTGCGTCGCAAATTCCTTGGTAGACTGTAGGATATATAAAAAAAAATCAATAAAAAGAAAATACAACTATTAGTAAATTAATCGCATATCGAAGATACATTTATATTTTAAAATTTTAAGGGGATATTAGGTTAAAGGTGTGATTCTCGAGCAATAAGGGGTCATTTCATAATTACTTCACTGTAAATAGGTTGCAACGCACAGGTTGAGGTAAATAATGATAACACATTACTTGATGCGGTGTAATCCGATTAAAATAAAACAATAACTTCATTATTAAAAAAACTACATTATGCGGATAACGGATACACACATATTGATTGCTGGATCGACAATGTAACAATAGCGGATGTCGATATGACAGCCGTTGCCAGCATCCTACGTCAAAATGGGTGCATCCCATCGAGTTAGAATCTATAGAGAGGGAATCACGTGACTAAAAACGACCTCACTTCGGTCATATTGTTAAGAATTGTTTTGACACTTTTGACAGATCGTATATGTTTGTTTACATTTGTTGTTTTTCGAATATTTTTAGTTTTATAATACTTTTATAGAAACTGTAATAATATATTGTGATAGTGAATAATAAAAGTAATGGCCCGTACTTTAGAGAAAAAATTATTAGTATTTGACTGTATTAATTTATCTTTATGTATAATATATCGTGTTTTTAGTGTTTACTGCGGGATAAATAAATCATAGTTTATTAAAAATGTATTGCAATTTTTTAGATTATGATTAAATCTTCTGAATAGCTAGTCATTGTTGTTTAGAGTTTTAATATTATTGAGTCTGGCCCTGATCCCACCGCCATATTGGTATTATCGTTAGCCACGCCTACCTACGTCGTGTTTAATACATACATTAATATGCTCATAGCTTCTGCATAGATTCTAACTCGATGGTGCATCCTAATGGCAGCTATGTACGCCGTCAACACATTTTGATAATTCTTTGGGTTTGTATAGTATTTTTGTTGTAATTATTGCGATTTATTAAATTATGACAGAAAAATACGGATCTTGGTATATTTGCGAGTTGATAAAAGAATTAAGAAGAAATGCGAGAATTACTGGAAAAAAAGGAAGACATTATCGAAAAGTAAACTTTATAAATCATCGTCTTAATGTTTCATTAGTTTATCTCAGACCATAATAGAAAGTTTTATATTGGTCTGAGTATTATAGTGATGTATTTGTATTTGGATTTGAACTAATACTGTCATGTAACTAAAATATGGTAACTTTAGCTACCTACCCTACATTGAATACAGTTTTGTGCTGCCTTAAAACAAAACGCATTATAAATCATAACTTTTGATATATGTATGAATGATATTGTGTCGCTGCCAGAAGTTCATTGCTTTGCCTTTCCAGAAACTGATTAGGTATTCTATATTATATTATAAGCTTTAGAAATTCCTCTAATAGATTTCGTCGATATAAATAACTATTTTGTATATATTTATAAGTTAGAAGAAGGAATGAGCCTGTGTATCGCAGTCCACAGAAAAACTATAGTATGATGCAAAATAATTTTTTGTTAGCTATTGGTCAATCAAAAACAGATGAATATCATTTTTACCGAGCGCAAGTCAACAGTGAAATGGCCAAGGCATTTACATACAATGTAAAACTGGTCTTCTCCATGGATGAAAGTATTACTGAAGCATTATGTTAATGTATTGTTGGCAAGCGATACAGAGCAGTGTGAAAACATGTTGCTGTTGCGATGCTTTATTAAACCTGAAAGATCGTGATAAATGATACATAAAAGATACCTGCACTAAATGAAAGCAAGTTTGACAATGTCAAAAAATAGCAGACTGCAAGTATCGCCAAAGAAAGCCGAACAAATAAATTTTATAGTCCCTGTGTGCAATGTGCGAAAAAAGCAAAAGACAAACTTTTGTTATAATCCAAGACCACAACAATACAGAACAGTAACATGTTGGAGTAAAAAATGTGAGAAAATAGCTATCCGTGCCTATGAAGAGGCAACTATTAACCATCAGCTGCTTTTCCTGATGGACTTGTGAAATAACTAAGTGTGTTACAAGTTAACTACCTCTATTCAATAAAAGATTCAATGATTAGTTCTGATAGTTTGCCATATTTAGAAATGAAAGATGAATTACGTTTGAAATTAAATTCAAATTATTATAATCAAGTGCAAACTCAAATGTTTATCACTGGTTGTGAGTTCTGGATTTTTTCACTTGGACAAAAAAATATATAGATGTATTTCATGATTTAATTTATAATGAAATAATCCCTCAAGCCAAAGAATAGTAAATTTTTGAGTAGTATATGGTTCTAGCATTGGCTGAAACATACTATTTCTTACCGAAGTAGGTAATCTTAATCTGTATAACAAAATAAAAGACAAATAAACAGTATTTATGTTGATTTTATTAATTTTTATCTAATATGTTGCTCCGAAAATTTGCTAACGTAAAGCATACAACTATTATCCTTTATATATAATATTTATTTTATTGTAGATACGAGTAAATGCATTTCTGTCGCACATATTTATCTCTTCTTATTGCCACAATCCACTTTTTTCTCATCAGTTTATTTTTGATAAACCTGTGTTCTGATATTCTCGATGCGCACAAAGAAACAGCACAACACTGAGGCATTCTATTTATTTTATTTGTAGGGATCTAGAAGTATCGGAGAAATGCCTAAAGTTAGTATCGAGGTATAAATTGGAGTTGGTGAAATGTAAATTTAATAACACACCCGAACAGTTAAGACCACCACGGCTAGTACGAGTGGCTCTTTTTCAACAAAAGTTACCAGTTCCTTTGACATTTCCCATATATAAAGTAAAAACCGAAATGTACACCTTAGCCATGGATGCCGTTAAAGTGGCTGCAAAGGGAGGAGCTAAGATCTTCTGTTTACAGCAAGCTTGGAGTAAGTACAGATTTTGTATTAGTAGTATAGGTTTCTAATTTATTTTGCTTTATCTTTCTTAAACTACAAAGACGATCAAACTAGAGGTTGATCATCTGTTAAAGGGTGAAGCATTTTCGGTCTACATGAATTGGGTTAAATTATCTTAAAATTATCTGAGGAATCCACAAGAAAACTAAATTCCTGTAGTTGGCTGTATACCATGTATCACAAAAATTTTATTTAAAAAATTCTTTTATAAAAGGTATAATAATATAACACTACATCACAGAACGTTTTCGGAATTATTATTCCATCATCAGTGCTATCCTAGAAGTATAATCACTTAAATTAAATCAAACGTGAAAGTTAAAATTTTGACCAGAACTGATGATGGAATATTAATTCCGAAAACGTTCTGTGATGTAGTTCTATAGAGTTTTTATTAATATACCTTTTATAAACGAATTTTTAAAAAATGTATCTGGAGAGTTTCTGGACACCCTATATACAGGGTGAGTCATAAATATAAGGACAGGTTATTTGGACCAAAATATGGCTATTGGGCCAAATATGCCTTAATAAAATGTTGCTGAGAAAAAAGATACAGGGTGTTAAAGTTATTTTTGTTTTTCGTTTTTTGCTAATAGTTTCCCTGTATATTTATAAATTGCTATCAAAATTGGCACAGAGGCATAATCTTAGACAAGAAATAGTATTTTATTTACAATTTTACGTTTTGTCATAGAGGGCGCCACGTGGATCATTCCTAAGGATCAAATTGAGTCTTAACTTTTTTCGATGAAACTTTTTAGTAATTTTTATTAGAAAATATGACGTAAACATCATTTTTACGTAAAATTGGTACTCTTGTTTAAACATGATAATTTCAACCGTTTTCGATAAAAACGCAGTCGAACTGCTTAGAGTCTTAAAAAAGGATTTCAAATACTATTTCATTTATGAAAAGTATGCTTTGGACTGTCAGATAATTGTTGTTGGTAAATGTCATTTGTTCAGAGTAAATTATTTTGAATGTGACAGTGTAGTGTAATGTTGCATTTTTTAAAAGTAATCATTACTTTTTTTGATTAAAATGCCTCGTCACAATCATTTTACCAATGAAGAAATGCGAGATATGATTTGCGTATACGCACAAGGAAGTTTTTGCGGTCGCTCGGCAGCCAGAAGGTATGGAATGTTATACGCAAACAGAAGACAACCAAATCACAAAACTTTTGCAATATTATATCGTAGTTTAGGTGAAACTGGGTAATTTCACACTAAAAATCTGGGTGGTCGACCGAAACAAATCACACCTAATAAAGAAGATGAACTTTTGGTTCGAGTAGATGAAAATTCTGAAATAAGTTCACGATATCTATCAGCAGCAACAGGAATAAGTCAGTCGTCTATTTTTAGAATTCTAAAAAAAGGGAACCTCCATCCTTATCACTTTACTCCTGTTAAAAATTTACTTCCAACAGATCTTCCACGACGGTTACAGTTTTGCCAACGTATTCTGAATAAACATCGCAATAACAACAGACACTATATTAAGAATATTATGTTCACCGACGAAGCAACTTTTACCAGACGAGGGGTTTTTAATTGGCGAAATAGTCATTATTGGGAAGAAGAAAACCCGCATGCTATTAAAGCTAGACATTTTCAGCGTGAGTTTAAATTGAATATTTGGTGTGGCATTATAGGCGACCAACTACTAGGGATAATATATATGTTCTTCCTCCGAATTTAAATGGAGATTCTTATTTATTATTTTTGGAAAATACTCTTAGTGATATTTTAGATGATCTGTCACTGGATGTAAGAAGAAAAATGTGGTTTACGCAGGATGGAGCGCCACCTCATTTTTCATTAGCTGTTAAGAATCATCTTAATGACGTATTTCCTCAACGATGGATTGGCAGAGGCAGTGATTTTCAATGGCCACCAAGAAGTCCTGAGTACAACCCGCTAGATTTTTATTTTTGGGGACATATGAAGTCCTTAGTTTATGCCAATGAAATTAATACACGAGACGAACTTTGGAGATACAGTCAAAATGCAGCTAATCTTATAAGGGAACAGAATAATATTTTTTTAACGTCCGAAAATCCTTTATAAAAAGAATTAGAAAAGACATATAAATCGGAGGAGACCATGTAGAACATTTAGTTTGAGTTTTTGTGAGTTCTTTTAAGTTAAAGTGTGTTTAGTTTTGATTTATCGTCAAAACGGAAACCTTACGTTAGTTGCAACTTTGCAATAAAATACTATTTCTTGTCTAAGATTATGCCTCTATGCCAATTTTGATAGCAATTTATAAATATACAGGGAAACTATTAGCAAAAAACGAAAAACAAAAATAACTTTAACACCCTGTATCTTTTTTCTCAGCAACATTTTATTAAGGCATATTTGGCCCAATAGCCATATTTTGGTCCAAATAACCTGTCCTTATAGTTATGGCTCACCCTATATATATATATATATATATATATATATATATATATATATTGTAGTTTTGATTTAATTTTATATTAAACCCAAGAAACATTAAATCTATAGGTATTATATATATATATATATATATATATATATATATATATATATATATATATATATATATTCTCCCAGCGTATGAAGTGAGCGCCATATCAAAAGAAACTGCGGTTGAAGTGAGGTCCTATACAAAGTGAGGTTCAGTATACGGACCTTGTAACGACAATATTTTACCTACCACACAGGGTACCAATACAAGGGGTAGAAAATTGGGGGAAGAAACTAAGGGGGTAGAGATAGGGCAAGCAAAATAATCGCTACTTGTGGGAACGGCACTCAGGGTTTGGTAGGAGAGCTGGGGTCGTGAATAAGTAAAAGATAAGGGGGTGGAAAGGGGCAACTACAAAAAAAAATAAAATAAAGGGATACTTAATCTCTTAAGATAAACAAAATAAAAATAAACAAGAAACACCTCAAGGAATTTAATATAGGGCGCCACTTGAGGTGCCTAATTATACCTATTACAATCACTAGTTGCAACTAGGAAAATAGCTAGAAAACATCAAAAACATATATTTTCCAAATAAGACTCAAAAAAAGGGTTAGTTCAAAAAAGAAGTAAAATGTTAAGAAAACAAAATTCAACATTTATTTTTGTGTCACCATAAACAGTTACAAAATGGAGGAATACAAAATACAAAAACTTACGTGTCATCCGCTTACAAAGTCCAGGAGTTGGAGATACTACATAATCTTACAAATTTACATGGAGGTTAACCTTGTTTAAAAATAAAACAAACTATAACAGTCAAAAAAATAATAAAAAACGAGCTGTCATAAGTTAACATTAAATTTCAAAAAAAAAACTAAACACACAAATTGACAGCTCAACTCAAAACCTAAAATTTACAATTTTAAATGTAACAATTTTTAAATTTCAACGAAAGCAATTATTATTTTATAAAAAAATGTTCTGTCTTTATTCTAAATCTTGAACACAAAAAAAAAACAGTTACCTTGATTTTCACTTAACAAAAAAAACTTGTCACATCTCTGGAGTATTGACATCATCAGCGAAAACATCCATTAGGGGCTGGAACAGGATCAGGAACTAGACTTTTTAAACATTTTAAAATCTTCAAAAAAAAAAACGAAACAGTGGTCACTCTTTCTAAGGTGACATATTACATCGAGCGAAAACTCCACCAATTTTGGCAAATTATGCCGGTCACTTCATGACGGATAAAATTTCACGACTACTGCTACTTATTTCCACGAAATTGACCAAAAAAAAACAGAAGAACACAAATTCGATGGAGAATCTGTGGATCCATACCTCCTAACACTACGAAGGCCCGAGTATGAATGACGAATTTAAAAATTCGTTGCTAACTTGAAAATAAAACAAACTGCTGAAATAGCAAAACCAACAAAACGGCGTACATATCCTTTTGCGACATATTTGAAATTATAACGCGGCTTCCAATAAACATTAAAACAAATTGCCGAGAAAGTTAAAATAAACAACTCTAAAATGGTTTACATTAACCTCCAGCAATGCTAAGACAACTATGCGTATTTCAAACTCGAAAGATACGAACTAACAAACACGGTAAGAATTCCTCGTTTTATTTTTTAAACATATATAAGGCGATTTCCATATATTTTATTATACGAGGAGGTTTCAATATACTTCAAAGAATCAATGAAATTGAAAATGCTACAACCTTACTTAGTCAATCAATGTAAGACTTTTTCGTAGACATATACTGATAGCAAAAATGGTTTTTTTACAAAAAAAGTGGGAAAAAATTGAACTGATTGTCAATTTATTGTTTATACAACATAATTATACAATGTCCATTGTCGTAAGCTTCTTTACAATTGTTAATATCACTGAGTGCTACATATCTTTTTGAGGTAACATACTTAATAACTTTTCATTGGATGTTAGGTTTTTCATATTGTTCTTTTTAGATGAACTGATGATGCTATCAAATTGGATAGCGAAACGTTTTCAATAAATAGATGAAGTAGCCATCATCTTTGTCTTTTTTCTCCAATTTTTGACAGAAAAACCCGCCACTCTTCGAGTGATCCTTATTTTATATTGGATTGACGGTCGTACTCCTTTTCTCGATACATATATATATATATATATATATATATATATATAGTAAACTCTTAAATATTGTGGAAATCTGTAAAAAAAACTCTAATGTGTATCAATTATTTCACCTAACGTTCTCGCCAAAGAGAATTAATTTGGCTTCTTCAGGGCTGAAAGAGAATAAATTATAATTAGCTACCATATATTATCTAATAAAAAACATTTACCTTACCGTGAAATTTTAGAAATGTCGAGTTATGATGTTAAAAAACTTTAGCTAGTAACAACATAGTGGTGTTTTTTTTTTGTTACTATGTGCAAAAAAGTTTATTTGTTAACGTTGGAAATGTATGGTAGCTTTGAACTTAAAACGCAAAGGTTTACCCAAGGACAATCGAAAAACCCAATGTAACTACATTTAAAGGAAGTAATTCTTTGAATTGTCGGCAATAACTAAATTTTTAATTATTGTAAAGTTTGAATGTGAGCTTCTGTTTTCATAGAACGCAAGCGCCGAAACAATTACAAGTAGACTTTTGATATCTATGTCGTTAAGGTTCATTGGTAAAACCGATGAAGTTAGATCCCAGTCTGGAGAGATATTAGTTTAGAATTTTCTTAATTGAAATTCTTTTTTTTTTTTTTAATTAGTATATTGTTCATGTATTATTATAATAATATCTTATTGAGATGAATCCAAGAAAAGCAAGGGAATGTTATCTTTTTTTGTTAATGAAAATTATTATTAAAGTAGGTTAGTTGTATATAGATATATCAGTCAAGTTAGTTATCTGTGATGTTGTATTGTTCTTGGTATCTGATTTAAGTAAGAAGTGGTATATATCGCTTAGATTCTTAATGTCACTCTTAACATTGATGGAAAAATCGTTAAGGAAAATATGACATTTCAATGAACTCTCTTTTAGATTTATTGTTCTCACGGTGGAGAATTGTAGTGTTCGTATAGTCCATGTGATGACCAGTGGAATGGACATGTTTGGCTAATGCACAGCGGTCAGGGTGAAGTCGAGAATCACTTTTGTGTAGTGTATATATATATATATATATATATATATATATATATATATATATATATATATATATATATATATATATATATATATATATATATATATATATATATATATATACAGATTGAACCAAATTAAAACGGAACATACAATTTAATACATGTCTGTTTGAACTGCATTTAAAATAGTGGACCAATATAAAACTTGGACAAAAATAAATCCATACCTGGGTATAGACATTGTATAAAATATCGTTCAACTATCTGTCTCGCAACAAAGTTGTTTGCGTAAGACGGGTTTGTCTAAGGAGGCGAAAATAGTTCAGGAATTGAAGCTCGAAAAAAGTTAAAACCTCGCAATTTTTTCGTCCTGCATGTATCCATTTGAAATTTTAGCAGAAGGTAGGTAATAGCCCAAGGATCAAAATCTATATCGAACCGAAGTGCGCTGAAGGGTTTTAGGGGTGAAAACTACCCCTAATTGTCAAAAATTATAAAATAACATATTAAACCTGAATATGGGTAAGATTTGGTTTGAATTAATTAAATAATGATTATTTTATACTTTTGAATAGAGTTCCATCATATTTCAACCCTTAAAAAGCAACCCTTGTTAGAGATTAATGTAAAAAATTACTAATTCTAAAAAAATGATTTCGCCTTGTATCATTTGGATAAAAATTTGGATTTAAGCTCAATTCACCCGCTGCTTTATAGTTTATGTCATGTCGACGAACGCTGATTGTTCTTAGGGGTGAAAACTACCCCTAATTGTCAAAAATTATAAAATACCATATTAAACCTGAATATGGGTAAAATTTGGTTTGAATTAATTAAATAATGATAGTTTCGTGCTTTTCAATAAAGTTCCATCATATTTCAACCCTTAAAAAGCGACCCTCATTAGAGATTAATATAAAAAAATTAGTAATGCGAAGAAAATGATTTCACCTTGAAACGACTTGCATAAAAATTTGGAATTAAGCTCAACTCACCCTCTGCTTTATAGTTTATGTCATGCCGATGAACCCTGATTGTTCTTAGGGGTGAAAACTACCCCTAATTTTCAAAAATTGTAAAATAATATTACAAATCCTAAGATGAGTGAAATTTGGTTTGGATTAGTTAAATAGTGAGTTTTTTATACTTTAAAATACAAATTCATACATTTTCAACCCTTAAAAATCAATTGTTATGAGTGCTATAGGTGAAAACAATTTTTTGCCAAAATTTTGCAACTTTTCAACTTTTGAAAATCACCCTTTACAACATTGAAGTTTTTATAAACTAATTTATAAGATATAAATTGAAAAAAGTAGAATTAAATACAAAAAAAATTATCAACATAAAAAGGCACCATATATTCTTATACATTTACATAAATAGTTGAAAATATTTACATTTATAGGTAAAACAATTATAATATTAATTTTATTCGTCATCAATTACATCTTCATCGTGATCTATGTCATCATCATCTTCCTCAATTATTGGTGGACTGTTATTGCACCCTTCACCTGAGCACCCAGAACAAGTAGAGTTACAGTATAAACCAACTTTTCTGCACCCATATGAAACGCCGCATCCTTTTTTGCATTGGCAAAAAATAATTTTCAAAAATTTATCGGGTGCAGGTTGTTTGTTCATGCGTACGGGTAATAACAAACCATCTTTGGAAAACCATCCCCAATCTGTTGCTCTGATATTTTCATTGCCAAGCCATAGACATATGAGAAGATGTTTTATTCTGTTGTATGGGATTTCAAAATAAGAACGCTTAAAATTTCGAATGTATAACGCCCCACGAAATGTACTGTACTATACTAATGGAATTTTCCGGAAAAAAATTAACTGGTTTTTTAACGTATTTCCTTTAATTTTTAACGATAGATGTTTCTTCAAAAACGATTTGTAGAGGTTTTTAATAGCTACAAGGATCTGTGAATTAAATCTTTTTGGAACCCTTGGTTTTTAAATGGGGTGAGTTTAAAGGGCCCGAAAAAGATGGTGCTTGATCGTAAATCGATGCTTTAAACGGCTATATCTCGCCAAATATTCATTGTACAACAAATCTAAATAAAGGATAATTTTAGTCATTAAAAAAGCTACAATTTGGTAATTTTTATTTTTTTCATATATTCAGTATTTTCTGGCATATTTAAAAAAAGAAGGGTAAAAAATATGAAATTGTAAATCGTTTCTCGCTTTAAGCTGTACTTTTTCTAAAACTAAGCATTTTAAATGGGTCAAACTTCTTGGAAGTATTAACAATACATCTACAAAGGGAATTGCAGAAGGGTGAAGATCGATTTTAATTATGGGGGTGGTTAGGGTGTTGTTTTCCTCGATTTTTTCGTAAAAAATGAGGTATTGACCTTATTTTTTTATGATAGGTCTATTTATGCTCTTTAAAAAAGGTTTTGTGAGTTTTCTTCCAAAAATGCATCATTTTCCCGATATTTGACTTTGAATCTTTCAAATTTGGCATTTGAAGAAAACCGCTGAACATTGATATTGTATTTGTAATTGTATTTGTCTTTTTAAAAGCTACAAATTTGTTCTCTACAATTTTTTTGATAAAATGCACCATTTTCGAGTTATTCGCGAAAAATCGATTAAAAACGTGGATTTTTTCGTCTAAAAGTTGTTACTTTCAATCGCGAATAACTTGAAAAATATCATTTTATAAGAAAAATGTATAGCACATTTTTTGTTTAGAATCACTTTTCTAATCGAAACCTGTAGTTAAAACGTAAAAAAAAATTTCACCCCGGAGATGGGGTGGCAACCACCCCCTAGGCTTTGGCGCACTTTGGTTCGATATAGATTTTGATCCTTAGGCTATTACCTACCTTCTGTTAAATTTCAAGTCAATCCGCGCCGCACGAAAAAATTGCGAGGTGAAATGCTACATTTCCTGGACTATAACTGGTTTGACAGCATAATAGTAGATTTATGTGTAGCTTTCAATTTTTATGAGTTCAGAATCCAGCAGCCCACTGAAGTATGGGATTTTTTATAATATAATTATTTGACAATCTTTTGTTGGCCAACCAGCTACAGCAGAATTGAGCCGAAATACATTATATTCCTATGTTCCGAATTTATTTCGTTCAATCTGTATATATATATATATATATATATATATATATATATATATATATATATATATATATATATATATATATATATATGTACTAATTTGTACCATCATCAGTGACAGCTAAAATATTATTGGATGAGTTATATGTTGAACTATAATCAAAAATTACAAAAGTGAGAATACGGCTATAGCGGTGGCCGTATTAATACTAAATAAGGTTAAACTTAAAAATGGTCGCAAATTAGTGTTGCCAACTTTTTAAAAAGGCGAAGTATCAAAGATAAAGTAAAAGGCAGCTAGCACACAACGCTACTGGTTTGAAGTGTCAGATATGTGAGTTTTAAAGCTGTTATATAATAATATACATATTATAACTTGTCAAACCAGTGTCGTTGCGCTCTAACTCTATTTTACTTCATATTCTATACCTCGCGATTTTAACAGCTGGAAACCCTAATTTAAGACCATTTTTTCTCAGTCAACCCTCATATTACTAAAAAAAATAGCTTTAATTTGATGTAAAAAATAAGCATGTACGTCATGAGCAGCGTTTTTATTTAAAAAATAAATGAAATTTTTTTTTCAAAAATTAATTACTATTAATTGAATTAAAAATATTTTTGACTGGGAACAGTGGGATCTTGTACTATAAATGACACCTTATATTATCATATAATATCTAAAACCGCCAGTAGTTTTATCGTTAGATCATCATTCTTTGCTATTATTTTATACTTTTGATTAAAGTAGAATGTTGCAAATTATTTTTACATGACATAGAATCTATATTTTTATAATTTATGAAAAAGTAAGCACAAAACAGTTATTCGTTATAAGGTTAAATATACTGAAGATATACACTAATCTGTAGACCAAATTTGAGAGAATACTTATTATATATTTCAGATATGCCATACGCATTTTGTAGTGGAGAAAAAATGCCTTGGAGTGAATATGCCGAAAAGGCGGAGGATGGATCAACGACAAGAATTTTACAGTCAGTAAGTTTTTGTTTTAATTAAACCTCTAATAGGCTCATAGCATTTGTGAAATAAACAAATCATCTGAAATAATTAACTCAATTAGCAAAATAAATATTTTATGCACTCACCACATACCGTCATTTAAAATATCCAACGCCTAAAGAAACAATAGGGAAAGAAGGAGAGGAGAAGAAATTTAAAAGTGGATTGTTTTGAATATTAAATTTTTTAATGATGTATAAATACATGTGTATTATATATTACGCAAATGTTACCCAAATGATTAAAACAAATACTTACATGAATATGTATCTATATACAGGGTGTTTAAAAAAGTAACCCCGTCTCTAGGGTAGATAAAAAACTGAAAAATAATTGGGGTTTGTTAGTAAAAAATTTTTGTAACGCTATCCGTTTTCAAGATACAATAACTTTAAATTAGTGTTGGTAATGTGATACCCTTTGACTCGTGGATTCTCATCACATCAGTAGTGTGCATTATGGGAGTTAAACATACCTTGTCGCGTAAAGATGGGCTCGTCTGTAAAAAGAATGAATTTTAAAAAATTTGGATTGTGGGCTGTCTTTTGTTACAATGTTTCACAAAAATCCACTTTAACCCGTAGATCATCTGGCAAGAGCTCTTGGACTTGGTCTGTAATGATAAGGATGTAATTGCTGTTCTTTCAGTATCTGTCAAGTACTTGAAGAAGAAGTATTTGTTTGTCTTGCTTTATTCCTTACGCTAACTGTTGGATACTGATCAAGTAAATTTAAAATATTATTTTCTTTATTAATTGTTCTTGTTGTTCTTGGTCTACCAGAATTTATTTTATTTGGTCTCACATTCCCAGTTTCTCGACAACGTCGTTTAACGGTTCTAAATGTTTTTTTACTTGGTAAGTTTCTTCTAGAAAACTTTTCTGCATAACATGTCACAGCTGCACTAGAACATCCTAAACATTGCCTAAGTTTAATAACATGTCAGTGTATTCAACATTTGAGTACATTTTGATTTGATTTTACAAATAACAAGGTTTCAAAACTCTAATTAATGTTGATTTATCGTCATAACAATCAATAAATGTCAGATTTCCTTGGCACACGGAGAAAATAGAGGTATACCTACTAGAACTTTATCATTACTACCAGCATCAATTAATACTTCATAATTTTCAAATCAAAATATTCCGAAAATGTTGCCAGTAGTTTCGGCAAAATCGTAAAAAATGCATAATTTTTTTTCTTCAACGCCCTGTATCTTGAAAACGGATGGCGTTACAAAAATTTTTTACTAAGCAAACCCTAATTATTTTTCAGTTTTTTACCTACCCTAGAGACGGGGTTACCTTTTTTTGGAATATCCTGTATAATAACGATCAATTTTTTTCACAAAAATTTATTTTTAGTTAGCTTTAGAAAATAATATGGTAATAATATCTACTATCCTCGAAAGAGATGAGGTGTTTGAAGATAGAATTTGGAACACCGCTGTAGTTATCGACAACCACGGTATTGTCTTGGGGAAACAAAGGAGAAATCATATACCATGCTTAGAAAATTCCAACGAGCCTACATATTACTGCGAGGGAAACTTGGGACATCCTGTTTTTGAAGTATGTTAAGCTGTAATTTGTAAACAATGTTAAAGTCGTACATATATTTTGTTTATGTTGCAGACCGAATTTGGCAAAATTGGTATTAACATCTGTTACGAAAGACACTACCCTTTGAGTTGGTTTGGATTGGCATTAAATGGTGCTGAAATTGTTTTTAATCCATGTGGGGCAGTAAGTTGTTTTAAAATAGCAGAATTTACACAGTTATAAAATAATTTCAATATCAATAAAAAAATTTTCTTATTATATAATATATATATATATATATACAGGGTGGTGAATTGTCAAACGGGCGATAGGAAACTCAATGAGAAATTCTAAATTGTTGAATTCCTGCTTCCCTAATTATTTTACACCAAAAATTAATGTTCCCAAAAGTCATGGGAAACTATTTGTAGAGGACTCGAATATACATCGAAAACAATTGTTAAAATTGTTCTACGACTTAAACGTATTCCAAAATTTTGCTAAAATATTATACATTTTTCAGGTCACCCCTAAAACTCAGGCCAGACGTCGTGAAATGTGTATTACGTGTTGCGTTTTGTCATATTGACGTTTCTAATATTTGACAATATTTAAATCAACTAACTATATTATATTTATCTATGATTTAAATGGCAAAAATTTTGTGATTTATTATTTAAAAGAAAAATTAAGTTGATTAAAAAATGTACTCAGTTAAGGAGAAAAGAGCAATAATAAAAATGTTTTATTCATGTTTTATCATAACATTTGTTATAGTTTTATGTTTAGAAATTATCATATATTATTATTAGGAATAAAGATCGCAGTAACAGTATATTGGAATTCATGGAATTGTTGTATAACTTAACATGGAATTAAATTTTAGTGTATTAGAATATCTTCCGTTAAATAAAGATCCGGTAGTGACAGGAAAAGGTTCGCGCTATTGCCTGAATACAACATTATGCGATTTTTCGTCAACTGAGTACATTTCATTATATTGATTGATTTTTAAACAATATAATTTATTGTTCACAAAGTAATATTGTTCAGTAGTAGTAGTATTTAGTAAAATTCATTGTTTATAATTTAATCATAAAATAAAAAAATGACAATTCAAATTGTCAAACATCTGACATCAATATGATAAAGCACACACGTTATAATATATTCTTGTATTACGTGTGGCCTAGCTTTTAGGAGTGGCTGAAAAATCTATTATATTTTTGCAAAATTTTGAAGTACATTTGATTCGTAGAACGGTTTTAACATTTGTTTTTAATTTAGAATTTAGTCCTCTACAAATAGTTTTTTATGACTTTTGATCTAACATAATTAGGGAAGCAGCAATTCAACAATTTAAATTTCCCATTGAGTTTCCTATGGCCTGTTTGATGATTCACCACCCGCTATATATATATATATATATATATATATATATATATATATATATATATATATATATACATATATATATATATATATATATATATATATATATATATATATATATAACTGTTTTGGATGGGTTGGAGTCAATAAAAGAGGCTATTTGTTAACTATTTTTTACTCGAGCTTTCAATTGTGTTTACAATTATTATCAAGAGTTGCTAAAAAATACAAAATATCTTACAAAGTTGAACTAGAAATAAAAAATTTTGTTAACTCACCAAATAAAATTAGTTTGGTATATAAAAATGCTGCTAACATATTACAAAAAATATTAATATAAAAATGTTCTATTCTAATAAATGTTTCTCTGAAATTTTAGTATAATTTTGAAAAAGTTTCTTAACACAAAAACAATTGAATTTGTAAATAAAATTGAATAGTTACAAATAAGCCTCAATGTCATAAATATCAACTTAAATTTTTTTATTTTTGACCATTATATCGCCAAAAATAAAATTTTGTTTAAAAATTCTTTTTTGTTTAGTAACAAAACAGAAGAAGATTTATTCACCGTTAATAGATGCCTGAAAAAATGTAACAAACACATGGAAAATTAAATCAAAATGTGATATTTTACTGATTTCATATATAAACTACATAGAAATAATATAATTATAAATTTTGCTTAGATTTTGAATTTCTGATCTTTTGTTTAAATTATTATCACTATTGCTAATACAAACCATTTCCAAAAAAGTTCTTTTAAATTTATTACTTTCACTACATAAAATTTTAATATTATCAAAATCACTTTTTATCATTTTTTTTTTTCTAGTTCAACTTTGTAAGATATTTTGTATTTTTTAGCAACTCTTGATAATAATTATTGTAAACACAATTGAAAGCTCGATTAAAAAATAGTTAACAAATAGCCCCTTTTATTGACTCCAACCCATCCAAAACAGTTTTATATTTTTTCCAAACGAATCACAAGTACTTATTTTTTCTTACTCTTATGTAAGAATGTATATATATATATATATATATATTATATATATATATATATATATATATATATATATATATATATATATATATATATATATAAATTTATATATGTATATATATATATATATATATATATATATATATATATGTATATATATATATGTATATATATATATATATATATATATATATATATATATATATATATATATATATATGTATATATACCGGGTGGTGAATCGTCAAACGGGGCATAGGAAACTCAATGAGAAATTTTAAATTGTTGAATTGCTGCTTCCCTAATTATTTTAGATCAAAAGTCATAAAAAACTATTTGTAGAGGACTAAAATCTGAATTAAAAACAAATGTTAAAACCGTTCTACGAATCAACTGTACTTCAAAATTTTGAAATAATGTGATACATTTTTCAGACCACCCCTAAAAGTTAGGCCACACGTAATGCAAGAATATATATTAGGACGTATTTGTTTTATCATATTAATGTCAGATGTTTGACAATTTGAATTGTCAATTTTTTTATTTTATGATTAATTTATAAACAATGAATTTTACTAAATACTACTACTACTGAACATTATTACTTTGTGAACAATAAATAATACTGTTTACAAATCGATCAATATAATGAAATGTACTCAGTTGACGAAAAATCGCATAACGTTTTATTCAGGCAATAGCGCGAACCTTTTCCTGCCACTACCGGATCTTTATTTAACGTAAGATATTCTAATTCACTAAAATTTAATTCCATGTTAAGTTAAGTTATACAACAATTCAATGAATTGCAATATACTGTTACTGTGATCTTTATTCCTAATAATAATATATGATTATTTCTAAACATAAAACTATAACAAATGTTATAATAAAACATGAATAAAACATTTTTATTATTGCTTTTTTCTCCTCAACTGAGTACATTTTTTAATCAATTTAATTTTTTTTAAACAATAAATCATAAAATTTTGGCCATTTAAATCATAGATAAATATAATATAATTGATTTAAATATTGTCAAATATCAGAAACAATAATATGACAAAACGCAACACGTAATACACATTTTTTCACAGAAAAATGTATTATATTTTAGCAAAATTTTGGAATACGTTTAAGTCGTAGAATAATTTTAACAGTTGTTTTCGGTACATATTTGAGTCCTCTACAAATAGTTTGCCATGACTTTTGGTGTAAAATAATTAGGGAAGCAGGAATTCAACAATTTAGAATTTACCATTGAGTTTCCTATGGCCCGTTTGCCGATTCACCACCCTGTATATATATATATATATATATATATATATATATATATATATATATATATATATATATATATATGTATATATATATATATATATATATATATATATATATATATGTATATATATATATATATATATATATATATATATATATATATTAATGTGATATTAAAAGTCTGAGGTGCGCCAAGCAATTAATTAGCTAATTAATTAATCAATTAAACTTATTTAAATGATGCAATTATGATTCTATCACACTATTTAATTCTCTTATATCAGGCTTATACTCATGCTTCTCTATGCTTTACATAAGATAGGTAAGGTCCAAAGAATACCGGAATAATAAAAAAATATATAACTTACAATATTTTACTGGATCAGCTTCTGTCAGATACACTAACTCCACGAAAAACTCACTAACATTCACTTCTACTGCTTGCTACCTCTCGGGAACCACCAGAGAACAATGACTGTTCGCCTTGCACACTTGGAAAACAACTGATTATCTTTTTTCCCTCAAAAATCTAGCCAAACTCTCATTCTTACAAACCATCCCACTTTTTTCAATGTCCTCCAATCAAAGCTCGTCATACGTATCCCCATCTCTTCATTTAGATAACAAAAAACAATTTTACCTACAATTATAAATTTCCTAAAAACTATTAACATTCTAATCGTTTCTACAAATTCTTAAGAACTAACGGAGAAATATATTTTACAAATACCTAACTTATATTTTCAAAAAATATAGTGTGTCCCAAAATTCATGTATGATTTGAATTTGTCGCAATTCGTGCAGTAAAGTGTTTACAAAAACAACACAAAAACAGTTTGGCAGCTGACAATTTGGAGTTAGTAAGAATGAAGCGTTACTCGAAAAAGAACGCGTTTTCATTGTTGCATAGTATTCTAAAAATAATGAAGATTTGGTGGCAACAGTTCGAAAATGTTGTACAAAATGTGGTTGGAATATTGATTTAACTTCGTGAACTGAAGAAAGTAATTGAAAAATTCATGGAGATCAATTGGTGATGCTGTAAACACGCTGGACGTCCAAAAACAAACCATTTAGGTTTCAGTATCGAAGAAGTGCGTGAGAGTGAAAGGTGAGTGTAAAGGGTGAAAGAGCATCGATGTGACGTCGTGGACAGAGATTGCAAATTTCAAGGAACTCTCTAAGTGTCTCACTAAAAATCTGCATCTTCATGCCGGTAAAGTTCAATTGACACAAAAACTGAAGCCTATTGAGTATGCGTAGCGAAGGGAATGGATTATTAAACATCAACAAGTGGATGTTAGAAAAATTAATCTAAGTGATAAACCACATTTTCACCTTGACGACTTTGGTCACTGTTTGTTGCAATTGTTGGGTTATAATCATCCTTGGATCATACTTTGTTGAAAATGAGGATAGTCAAGCAGTGACTGTACTTATGCTCGATATGGCAACATAATATCAGTTAGTAGGCAGTTTTTTTCTGTCTAAATTTGATGGTATTGACGTGAGTGACATGTAATTT